GGCGGATGGGCCCTTGGGAGGTCGGCCTCATGAGTGCGCGCGGCTGTCGTTTCTATCTAACCGTGCTGGGTGGTTGACCACTAGCTGCAGCTGCGATGCTCGAGTTGGGCTCGCTGGTCGGTGCCCTCGCCGCCGGTGTCCTCGCCGACAAGTTCTCAAGAAGACAGTCCATCATGTTCGCTTGCGGTAACGTCCCCTTCTCCAACCCCCTTGTTCATTGACGTGCCGACGCCGTTCAGCGGTCTTCTGCATCGGCTCCACTCTCCAGTTCGCAGCGCAGACCGTCACCCACCTCGTCGTAGGGCGCGGTATCGGCGGCTTAGGCGTCGGTGCTCTCAGGTGCGTCATCCCCCCTCACTCATTCCACGCGTGTCTGATATTCCCTCTGCGCGCTATACTCCCCCCTTTGCACGCGCCCCTCCCCTGCAGTATGCTCTCCCCATTGTACATGGCCGAAATCAGTCCCCCGGAGGTAAGAGGCTCCCTGATGGCCCTCGAACAGTTCTCCATCGTCTTGGGTGCCGTCTTGGGCTTCTGGACGGGCTTCTTCACGCGTAACCGTACGTCGTGGTATGGTAATCATTGATGCTTGAATTGATTGTGTTCCTCCCCTCTTTCCCTCTTTCCCCCCCCTTCATTCGCTTCATGTATCGTTTACCCACCCCCACAAAAAAAGTCCCATCATCCACATCCTGGCGAACCCCCCTCCTCATCCAACTCATCCCAGGCCTCTTCCTCGGCCTCGGTTCGGTCTTCTTACCGCCTTCACCGCGGTTGTTGGTCGTACAAGGACGGGTTGCGGATGCGGGCCGGGTTTTGGGGGCGTTGAGGGGGAGGGGGGCGGGTGGTGGGAGGGGGAGAGAGGAGAGGGAGGGGGATGGGGAGGGGGGTCAATTGATTGAGGATGGGGATGGGGAGGGGATGGATCCGCTGGTACAGGTACGTCCCGATATGAGGTCGGCTCAAGTTCGAGTTGAACGGTCGTTCACGTCCCTCATTCTATAATATCCTACATGTGTTGACGTGCTGACCTTGAGATAGATCGAGCTCCTGGAGATGCGCGTCGAAGCGGAACTCATCCGTCGTCGGTTCTCCCCTTCTTCGTATCTAGATGTGAACGCAAACCTATCCTCAACCTTGACAAGCTCCCCATCAACAAACCTATCCCGATCCTCATCCTCCTCTCACCCACATATAGACGCGAACATGAAACAAGAACGCCCAATCACCACAGAACTCCGAGCGTGGAAAGACCTATTCGGGAGGAAGTATAGGAGGCGGACGTGGATTGGGGTGTTGATGATGTTTTTTCAACGTATGTGTCTTTTTTTTTTCTCTGTTTTTGTGGGGGGTTTTGGGGTTCGTGCTTCACTATTCTCGTTTTTTTTTTTTTTTTCGCTTCCTCGTTGCTCTCTTAACGAGCTTCTCTATCCTCTATTCTTTCTGCTCTACCACGCATATACACACGCACCCTTCGCAAAGCGGGACGAGGCGAGTATCTGCGTTCGGCGCTGTTACGATTCTTTTGTTTTTTTCTTTTGCCCGCTCTTGCACTCGTTCCTGTTCTTGTTATCGTTGTTGTTCTCGTTCTCGTGCACTTGCTCACTCGTTCTCGTCTCACTCGTTCTCGTCTCACTCGTTCTCGTCTCACTCGTTCTCGTCTCACTCGTTCTCGTCTCACTCGTTCTCGTCCACATTGCTCTCTTACTTTCGCCTCACTTGTTCTCGCCGCGCTCGCCTCACTTGTTCTTTCGCTTCCTCACTCGTCCTTGCTCGCTCTCGCCTCAAATCCCTCTCGCTCCCACTCTTTCATTCACGCTCAATCGCTATCTTCTTACTACACGTCCAATTGCTATCTTCTCACCACGCGTCCAATGGCTATCTTCTCACTACACGTCCAATTGCTTATTTTTTTCATTACACGCTCAATCGGTATCCTATCTCCATGCTCAATCTGTATCCTATTTCCATGCTCGTCCTCTACCCTTCATTCACGTCCACGTCTCTATCCTTCGTTCATTCACGTCCACATCTATCCTTTATTCACCCTCGGTCTCTACCCTTCGTTCTTACTCCCCCACCTCTACCCTTCATCCTTACTCCCCTAACACATCCTTACTCCCCTACCACATCCTTACTCCCCTAACACATCCTAACTCACCGTTCACTAACCACCCCACTCTCCTCCCACAGAATGGTCTGGAATAAACGCACTACTGTATTACGGACCTACCCTCCTTGCATCTCTCGGCCTCTCGTTATCTGGAGATTCCGCACCTGCACACGACTCACTTTCTGGAGATTCCGCACCTGCACACCACTCACTTTCTAGATATTCCGCACCTGCACACCACTCACTTTCTAGAAATTCCGCGACTGGACACGAGTCACTCGCTTCATCGGTCGCGATGGCAAGAAACGACCCAGGGGCGGGACACGACTCGGCGACGTTAGTGATAGCAGGAGGGATAGGGATCGTTCAGTTCTTGGCTGTCTTTCCTGTGATCGTGTTGATTGATCGGTTAGGTGCGTTTTTTTTTTTCTTTTTGAGTTTTTGGGTTGCGAGTTTGGGGGGTTTGGGGGGTTTGGGGGGTTTTCGGTCGGTGTAGCGTTCTTGTGTCGTGTTATGGCGTCGCGTCGTTCGCTCGAAAGCTTGGGTTTGTTCACGTCCGTTTGCTCGAAAGCTTGGGTTTGTTCGCTCGCTCATGTTGTTCGCTCGCTCATGTTGTTCGTTCGCTCATGTTGTTCGTTCGCTCATGTTGTTCGCGTTCGTTCGCGTTCACCTCGACTTTGTATCGTTCAATGTTTTGGCTATTCCGCTCATGCTCGACTTGTTGTCGTCGAATATTTGGCGATCCCGCTTCGTGCTCGACCTCGTCGTACGTCTTCTGACGATCACGAGCCAGAGTCCGAGGGTGTTCCGTTTCGCGTCTTTGCGTCTTTGCGTTGTTGCATCCTGAACTTACACATATTTCTGCTTCGCCTGTATTGGACCAGGGAGGAAACCGCTTTTACGCTGTAAGTCCTCCTTCCTTCTCTGCTCGAGACTCACTCTCACTCTCACTCTCGCGCTCCCTATTCCTAACCGATCAATCCCAACGGCACACCTCCAATAATCTTCGACTCCCAAACACAACCCCACAACCCCCTACCCAAACCCGCAACCCCACCTACAAACCTACCAAAAAAAAAAACTCATAAACAACTCGCACACACAAAAAAAGGGGGAAGCGCGATCATGTGTCTCTCCCACCTCACCATCGCCCTCCTCATCTGGTCCTTTGGGGATGAATGGAAGGAACATGAGTCGGGTGCTTGGGTTGCTGTTGGGTGAGTTTCTTCTGAACGAAGCGTATCCCTTTTTTTTTTGCATGCTTTTTTTTGCCTGTGTTCTCGGTCATGCGTTTGCTTTGCCTCGGTCTCGAGATGAGACGAGCGAGTGTCATGCGTCGTTCCTCGTGAGTCTCGTATGTCGCGTACCCGAGTGCCCTCGTGTGCCGCGCGCGTGCCCAAACGCTACTCTCTTGGCAATCTAAATCGTGCGTCGCGTCCTTCGCCTTTCCACATCATGCGTCGTGCTCTGTCTCCTCGCGGATCGGGTCGTGCTCTGTCTCCTCGCGGATCGGATGTTCGGTTCGCTGGTGCGCTGTTCGCCCTCATGCGTTCGTTTTTACATTGTTGATCTTTTGCCTCGTGCGAGCTATTCGGGCATGCACGTTTCCGTCGCCTTTCCAAAAATTCAGTTCCTGTCTTTACCTCTTTTTTTCTTTTCGCATCCCACACCCCATCCCCCCTCCCACCCTTTCCCTTTCCCTCCACCAATCCACATCTCACATCCCCCCTCCACACACCCACACACAAAACTAACCCCCACCCCCTTCAAACGCAGATGCATATACATCTTCACAGCCGCCTACGGAATCTCCTACGGTCCCATCGGGTGGATCCTCCCGAGCGAAGTATTTCCGTTATCAGTGAGGAGTAAAGGCGTGTCATTGGCCACTGCTTCTAATTGGGTTAATAACTGTACGTGTTTGGTTTTTTTTTTTTTCTTTCTTTCTTTCCTTTCTTCGGGGTTTTTAGTCTCAGTGGTTCGTTCGGTGGTTATCTAAGACTAACTAACTAACACCCCCGCACCCCCCCGGCACCCCTCTCCACAGTCCTAATAGGCCTAACGACCCCACCCCTCCTCACCCTCTCCCCCTCACTCACCTTCATCACTTTCTCGACGGCGTGTTTTGCGGGATACGTGTGGAGTACTTATTATGTGCCTGAGACGGCTGGAGTGTCGTTGGAGGAGATGGGGGAGGAGGTGTTTGGGGACGGGGTGGGGAGGGAGGAGGGACGGGTTAGGAGGGAGGTGCGTCTTTGTTCTGTTTCAATTTCTAGTGGTTTGGTGTTGATGTTTTTGTGTTGTAGATCGAGAGAGAGCTAGGTCTGACGGATTTGATACGTCGTTTGGCGGATGGGGAGAGGTAGTGAGGTAGCGAGGACGAGGCTTGAGGTCGAGGTAAACATGCGCTCCCAAGCTTCGATTGGTTCTCTTCGCTCGCGTACGTCGCTCATAAATAGACCTTGGACTCGCACTTGCTACTCGCCACTCGACCTCTCACAGCATAACGTACAACACGAACATTGAAGTCTCATCCCAAGATGGACCCGAAGACCCCCTTCCCGCATTTCGGCGCACTGGGGGAGTGCGATCGCGGCATTTTGGGTTTGGTTCGATTATTGGATTCTACCACGTCCAAGGTCAATCATAGGTCATTTAGCATAATCTCCACTTAACCACTCGCCCACTTATTCACTTATCCTCATCCACTTATCCATTCATCTGCTTCCGTTCACATGCCTTACTTACGCATCTTCGCTAATCCCGGATTTGAGTTTGTACCATAACCGTAATATCTATATCGTATCTTACCGTACGTCTGCAAACCCACAAGGCACAATAAGTACCACCATTGAGTCGCAGGTAACCATAAGGAACAGCTAACAGCGCTGCTATGGTGTAACGGCTATCACTCGGGATTTTGATCTATTCTGTGGTCCTCATCGACCCTCATCATCATCTTCCCGCAATCCAGGTTCGATCCCTGGTAGCAGCTCTCATCATTTTCAAATCTGCTTTTTTGCTTTCGTCAAGGCTTTCGTGCTTGGGTTTTCATTTTTTCTTAATGGTCAATCTTGGCGGCGCGACCGCCGCGACGTTCCACGTCCAACGTGCAAGCTTCTCGGATATCGGGCAAGACTTGAAAGCTTGACGGACTTCAAGGTGAATATGGACCACGACGGGCGCAACTCGGATCCCGACGCGTACAGTGTAGTTTTGGTTCGGACTGCCAGTGACTTCCGTCACGGTTAGCGGGGCTCTAGGAAGGAGGGGCGGGTGAAGTCACGTTTGGGACTTGAAAGCTTCACGCTTAGACTTCCGTTCGTTCAACTTGGTAGACCGATTAGAATACTCCCGCCATCGAAGAGACCGTCGGTTGCATCCAAGGTAATTGAGTGCATTCCGCCCGACCGCAACCGCGACATTGGCATCCGAACCGAGCCCTGCGTGCATTCTCGGTCGACGACGACCGTTCGGACCTCCCACCTCGAGCTCGGATCGACACCCGCGACTCGGTAAGCTCTCACTATCAACCGTCCTCCTCAAGTTCCGCACTCTACAAATGTTTGCTGCCGCCTTTGCCCCCGGGTCCGGGTGCTCGAGAATGCATATAAGGAGGGCGGGTTGTAGTTGTTAAGTCCTACCTCGCCGTATCTCTTCTTCAAGTTGATCTTGAAGATTTCTAAATTTTTGATATACGCTAGAGTTAAATATATACGGACACCATACCATTTTGACAATGGCGTCTTACACACAGTTAATTGATTTGACCGCTGGCGGTTATAAGGTCAGTTCTCTCTTCAAAGTTCAGTATCTCTCGCCCAGTCTGACGATATGAATTAGACTCAGACTTCTTCTACTTCGTCCGGTAACGAAGTTGCAGCCCAAGGCGTTCCTTACCTTATCCAAAAGAAATCCGCTCCTCCTCCCACTCGCAAGGTTAACATTTTAAATGGGTTCCCGAGTCCCATCCAAAGACCCACCACTAGCGCTGCGATCATGTTTGGGTTCAATTGTAACAACAGTCCTACGTTCGTTACGTTCAGAAACACCCCGACGCCTATGACTCCCATCGGCTTTGATTGTCGGTGGGGTCATATCGGGGATGGGCTGTACGCGTACTCTCCTGCCCGTCTCGGCAGCATGAGGGTCCCACAATGCTCTGGCGTCGAGGAGACGGGGAATGGGAGATCAGGGGGAGGACCAGCCGTCGGGTTGGGTATCAACGTCCCTAACTCACCCACCACCACCACCTCCGATACTCAGAGCACCTCCAACACTTCGAACGAGAACGCGAATATTGACCAGATCTCTCCAAGCTCCCCTCCCCTCCTTCCTACCCGTCGTTCATCCCCTCTTCGAATTGAGACGATTTTAGACGACGATGTTCTTCCTCGTCTTCACGTCTTTTCGTATCCGAGTCGTTTTGGGTTGTGTAAAGCCATGGTGACTGCACCCCCTGCGTCTGAGCTTCCTATTCCTTTTGTCCACTGAGGATAATCCGCCAGCACACAGGGACTTGTTCATGCTCGTGTACACTCCTCGTAATCTGTGATTCCGATACCATAATATATGGATAAATTGCGGCTGGTCCGCATGATTATCATATTCTTTACATTCTGAGCTTGAACCTCTCATTGACACTGTTTGACGGGTGGGACTATCGTGAGACCGAGTTCGGAGCGGAGAACATCGAGGGTGGCTACTTCGCTTGCGGTAGTGTAGTGTTTCGGACCTGCAACGGGGAAGGGGATTTTGTCACAATGTATTCGACGTCGTTGTTGAATTTGAGTGAGAAGACGCGGTTCAGGGTTCCTAGCAGTATCAGAGGATATGGTAGCTTGAGCTCGAGGTGAAGAGGACTCAGTAATGCATGCGGACCATCTGTGAGTTTCTTAATGGACGTGCATTTGGAGGCACCGGCAGAACGTGTGGCAACGTCCAAGAACGCGTGGATGTTGAAGGGGACATGGCGTATCGCGCGCTCTACAAGAAAGGGGTCACCACACTGTTGTGATGCTCGTAGGGGCACTCACATTTCTCGGCATTGTTCAACCAACGTTTCGTCGTCACAGAGAAGAGCTCTCGTTCTTCTGCGTTGGCAGGACGGAGTTCTTACTTGTGGAATCTATATGCAACGACTCGGAACGGCGTATAGTTGCATGATGTCCGAACTTCAAAATTGTAGGAAATCGACGCGACCCATTTGGAATCTTGAGAACGATCCTGAACATGCGCACAAGTGAGGAAAAAGCTAGGGGACGACTCTGACATTCGGACAAACCTGCAACTAGTACTAGTATGTTGTCGCCTGATTGATGTTGTGGATCCAATATGTACGCAAGTTCTCGCGAGTTGTTGATCAACGGCACTGCGCGTAATTTCAAGAATACTAATGAAAGCAGTCAGTATTTGAGTCTTTTATACCTCCGTGTTGCGTGCCATTAATCCACGCCTGATAATGCGACTCGATTTGACGGACTAGCCGGAGTACCTCGCAAATTGGTGTCTCGACACATAAGATCACAACGTTGTTTCCGTCGTATTACTGTGGCGGTCGCATGCATTCCCCGCTGCAAACGCTGTGGTCTACGCAGCCATCCTGGTCATGATCGTAAATGACCAACGTCCGCTGCTCACAGCAAGTGGCAGCGCCCTCTGGCACTGTGCAAGGCACGCAATCCGCCAAGCCCGAGTCAAGTTTTCAACGTGTTCGATAGAGCATGATATGCATGAGATGTGTGGAATAGAGCAGAGGGAGATTTAGCTCACCGAAGGTATGCGTTGCGGGTTTACGCCCATGCTCCAACTCGTTTCCGTGCCTTAAACTCGACACTTGAACAGTCTCACCCTCGCAAGGTGATTGTAAACGTCCGTTCGTTTCTTGACCACGCGTACCTTGCATTGATACTTGAACACACCCCGCCGGGCTTCACTACACCGCGCGGCAAGATTTCGACCATCTCCAAAGCAATTGCTGTGTGCTCCCAGGCAATGCAGTCGCGCGAGACCAGAACATGACGTTACGCTAGGACTCCGACCTTCAGGATCCATACCAGAGGTCATACCTAGTATTTAGGACCCAACCGGGGATGTCCAAGTCATGTGCACGTCCCGAAGTAACTCCACGGGGTCATTTGGCCGTCGTTGACAGGTAAGACAATCATTAAGAGATCAAAATGCACCTTGCATGAGCCATGGCAGTACAAGTATGCAAACAGAAAAGAGCGGATATTGTCCAAGTACCTGGGCAAAACAACTGAGCAGGGAGGAAGGGCGGCGCAGTGTTCCATTCCGATAAGCAAAATGGGAAGACCGACCTACTCGACCCCATTGAAGAGGGAATCATGCGTGAGCTCCTCTGCAGTCGGACGCTCCTCGGGGTCCAGATGACGGGAATGCCGGATAAAAGCAACCAACCGTATCCTTGAAGTCCTGCTCCGAAAAAAAACCTCCAAGATGTTCTCAAGTGAGCGCTCCCTATAAGGCAGTGGAGGAGGAAGAGGGCCTACCCTTCGACTTCAAGTCACCTTTTAAACAACCGTCAGAACGAGGTTTATGAGGCGGAGGGGAGGAATCATCTTCGGTGGTAAGGTACCAGTGTGAAGTGAGCATCCGACTGCAAAATAATTCGGATTTTAAATCTTCGCCGGTGACATTTATCAGTTGCCACCAGTAGTGAGCGTTATCAGGGGAATACCAGCCCCATGAACCAAACTGTCCGCTGGGGAGGATGCAAAGAGAGGTTTGCACTGTCGAAGGAAAATCATGTCGAAAGGAGGTGACAAACTCAGAGTCAGAAACAGGGGCCTCAGCTTGAACCAGGCTTGAACACGATTGGAACGTAAAGCGGATGGCCAACGTCCACATTCGGAAAATAAGGTTCGTTCCTAGAGGTGAAGCGCGCACATGTGATAGATCGCCGATGAACACGCCGCGCGCGTCGGCAGGCACGACGTCACCGCCTCCTGCGAGCGCGACTTCTGACTTCATAACCTCTTCACTCAGACATCCACAGAGTCCCTACAGACTATTGCTAACGCGTTCACGAATCGCTCATTTTTAAGCTTGTTAGACGGTGTCTGACGCCTACAGTATCGCTTCAGATTTCGTCCATTTTGTTGTGATACAACTCGCTCTGTAAACCTTCGAAAGTATGGCGGATATTCTCGTGCTTGGTGCTACAGGTGAGTACCTAGAATGTCGATTACGACTCGCCAGCTAGACGCAAACCCATGTTGTTGTAGGGTACACCGGAAGGCTCATTACACGATACCTCAATGACCATCCTCAACGATCCGAGTTTACATACGCCATTGCCGGTCGCTCCAAGTCCAAGCTCGGGCAACTGAAAAAGACCTTGAACCTTGACGAAAGCGTTCGGACGTTTGAGGTGGATGTTACCGACAAGGACGGACTAGAGGAGGTCATCAAGCAAGTCAAGGTCGTTATCAATACCGTTGGACCGTACTACGTCTGGAGTACGCCGGTTGTGAGGTAGGTATACCGAACACGAGAGGAACGTACGTAGTGATTGTTAACGTATAGTTCTTGTAGAGCATGCGTTCGTAATGGCAAGCATTACGTTGATATCTCGGGGGAACCACACTGGACTCGCGATATCATCCTCGAGTAGGTCATCTAGTACAATCATCTCGCATGCCCTTGTCTCAATTGCCTTCTGAAGATATGACTACCTTGCGACAAAAACGCACTCCGTTATTATACCCGGCTGTGCATTTAACTCGCTTCTATTCGATCTCTCCGTCTACCTCTCCTACAAGGAACTCAAGTCCATCTCTCCGGATTCCTCCATTGACCGCAGTGTCTCCGCTTGCAAAGCCAGAGGGGGAATAAGCGGAGGGACACTAGGATCTATCATGTCAGATTTTGAAAATCTCCCGGCTTGGAAGAGAACGATGAGCAGGCAGGATTGGGCTATTAGCCCGAGTGAGCATTCGCCCTACGTCTTCTTCGTATCAGAAAATTGACTAA